AAATCCACTCCATACTGATTCCGTTGCTCTTTTCCGGTTCCAGAAGGAGGGGCGAAGGAGGGAGAAGCAGGCCAGGGGGGGGGGGGGGGGTTTAGGGTTTAGGTAGCAGGAGGAGCAGGAGGAAGAGGCAAGTTTGCAAAGGAAGAGCGGTAAGGGACCTCAAACTGGGAAGGAGCAAGATACACGCCCTCCTCGAGCATGGCCCTGTGCCATCTAGCGAACTTGGCAGTGTCGGACTTCATGGCATCCTGAGAAAGCAGATGAGGCGCTGATAGGAGGAGGAGGATCAGGAGGAGGAGGAGGAGGAGGACCTTGAAGTTGTTGACAGGCCCCTTGCAGAAGAAGAATCCAAACATGCCGCTGCATAAGAGTGAGAAACAAGAAAAAGAAAGATTGAGAACATAAAACTGCAAGAACAGCGGTAGAAGGATTGTGAAAACTGCCACTACCAGATCATATCCACCATCACAAGATGTAACCATCATCACCATCTTGTAATGGTGGATACGATCATCTTGCTCAGCTGACAAACTTGGCCAACTTCCTCTTCCTCCTCCATCAACACCACTTACTCGTCCTCCTCCTCTTCCTCCTCACCTGATGCTTCCACCACAAACCTCATGACCAGCCGCCTTGCCAGCCTCAAGGATTCCGTTGATAAGCTTCTTGGTCAGGCGATCGAGTTTTTCGTACTGTCCGGGACGCTGAGAAAGATGTCAGAAGGAGAGGAGATGAGAGGAGATGAGAGGAGATGAGAGGAGAGGAGAGGAGAGGAGAGGAGAGGAGGGAAGAGGAGGAGAGGGGAGGAGAGGGAAGAGGGAAGGGGAGGTAGATGAGAGGAGGGAGAGAGCCAACAGAACATGTAAGAAAGGAGGAAATGAGCAACAGGCAATGTTGGATGAAAGCAAACTACCACGAATGAAAAATACTAGAGATGTGTTGCTAAAGGGTTGAATTTCGTCATGGTATACAACGATCATTATCATCTTATCAAATGTCGTCACCAACCAGGACAAGATTTCACCATCAGATATCCCTTGTTCCTTCATACGTCAAGGACAAGGCGGAATGAGATGGTGGAAAGTGGAGCAGGATGGAGAGGATACCAGGATGATGGTAGAACAGATACAGCAAGAGAGGACAAGAAATGTGTAGATGAGAACAAGAGAGAGAGAATTGAGATTGTCGTAGTGGGCTGAAGTTTCAGGTGAAAGGGAAGGAGGAAGATATTGTGAAGTTGAAGGGAAACCAAGGTGGAGGACGCAGAATAGGTAAAGGAGGACGACCAAAAAGAGGAGGAGGAGGAGGAGGAGGAGGAGGAGGAGGAGGAGGAGGAGGAGGAGGAGGAGGAGGAGGAGGA